TGGTCGGAGTTCTCTGTCTCCATCAGCCACCGGGGAGTGACCCCCGACCAGCTTTGAACATGAATGAATAGAGGTGCGGCATGGATTTCACATCGGACCACTCACGCCCTGACCTGCCAGCTTGCGTACTGTCTGTTAACCCACAGGAAATCCCAAACTCTGTTGATTGACGTGGATCGAGTGCAGCCTGCGAAGAAGCTGGAGTTCATGCTCTGCGCGGCTGAAAAGGCGTTTCCCATCCGCTGCACAAGTCCCAGCAATTCGGGGATTTGAAGCATCACTGCTTTTGCAAGCACCTTCCATTCGTACCCTTCCTCCACCGCCTGATGGAGCAGCGGAAGGGGCTGGCATCTTGGCTGAAGTAGCCATACCCTGGTGCCTGCAAAGCCAGCGGCTGGTGACCTGAAAAAAGGGGCCTGGCCGATGCTTGGAACCCGGGATAGGTGGTCTTCAAAAAACAACTGTGTCGTGTTTGGTGGGAAACTATACATCAATGCCATTCTTGCTAGCTCTTTGGTGGATAGTAAAAAGCAGGAACCCCCTAAGTGGGCTAACTAGTTACACCAGTTAGCCTTTGAACACTTCTAAGTGCACGAATCAATTGCTCAACTGATAATAAAAAACATCAAACGTCACTGTGATGTAAATAGTTACTAAGTTGAACAACTCACGTGGCCTATATGGAAGGCTTATAACCAAACATAGACTTAGCAACACACCACGTACTTTCGAGTGTTCTTTCCCAGGCGCGGACCCAGGGTAGGAAAATTGAAGTGCGATACCTGGCAACAGAATTGTAGCTACCCTGGGTCCGTATATACCTATATAGATTCAAAGCACGAATGATTGGTCAAAGCTGTGGGTTGCTGTGCGTGTGTAAAGGTTATCGGGCGGTTGACGGAAAGGGAACTTGAAGTACTATACCTGGTAACTGAATTGTATCTACCCTGGGTATCTATACCTGGCCAGGCGCCAGTTACACCTTACCAATGAGATGATGCAAATGTTGCAAATTGCATTTTTTGCATCACCACCCGGTCAAAAAATCACAAAAATTCAACCTCAAAAACCTTCCTTCCCCCCACCCAATTTCGAGTTTACGTAGTACGCTTGCGGGCCACCCCCCCAGACTTCCTACTTCCGCACTTCGTTCGCCACACACAACTCAGCTGGCGCCTTCTACGAAGGCTGGCTTTCGTAAACGTCAAACAACATGTTTCAACTCAACAAAACATAGCGGACCCTAAGTGATTGAAGTTGTCCTTAGATACCGCGGGCTACAGGCTCTTTACTTCAAAATATGTCATTATTGTCCTTCGCTGTATGCATGCCTGTCCACATTCCAACAAGATTTGGTTTCTCGTCATATTCAAATCAAAACTCACTCAAAACCCCACAGGTACAAATACTCAAACTCAGGCCCTCAAGGTCTACTACGCTCATGTGCACAGGGTCTTCACCGCTGAGACCTTCCAGGTCAGCCCCAGTAGCCGTTGAGGGTATGTTTGCTGTTGGATCCGGGGGTGCCCACCGGGATCTCGTGCGTGCTGTTTCTTCTCCTCATGCAGTGGACCTTGTCTGGCAAGGGGCACTATGCATACTATGCACGTGCCCCTCTGTCAGCGCAACCACCGCGCATCTGGGTGGCGTCGGCCCCTTGCTGTTGATTCCGGGAGTGCCCACTGCGATCTGAGGCGTGGAATTGACAAGGAGGAGAAGGAGATGGTGCGGGAACCTCTTCATTCCTCTTCTGAAATCTAACAACCCTCAACTGACAGGTGGAGAGAAAAGGATACAAACAGAACTGCAAAGCCTGACAGGAAACATGATGGGAATTGCAAAACGGAAATTCGGATCAGGATCAGGAAAGTGTTTCCGGCACGGACAGGCGTGTTTTGTAGGGTCAAAGCAAAAGGTTCGTAGAGGCATTTGAATATAAAGAGGTTGAACAAAAGTAGCAACACATGGGTTTTCAATTTGCTTTCTACAGCGCACCAACTGTTTCCAATCCGGGATGAAAGAAACACACGCACACAGATTTAGAGTGATTTTTACTAAACATGGGTGGTGGGCACGCCAGGCTATAAGCAAAATGTAAATTACACTGCACCCCACCACGTTGCATCAGAACAGTAAACGTCACTCCAACACATTCCACACGAAAAAATCAACCCCTTTTTACACAGGTGCCACCTCCAGATCCATTGTTGACAGGGACAGGTGCGACCATTAATGTGAGGATGCCAGCAAATTGTCAAGGGTCAGATTTAAGCTATCGAAGGCACATGATTGCTAACCAACACAATCATGATCAACCAGCGCATAATAGCCCACGCGCTTCTCACTTAGGCCGACAGTGTGTTGCAGCAGGACACGGGATCATTCATAACGATTTGCTTAATATATCATTTATCTTCAAAGCATGACCTCTACGTTAGATTGGGCAGTTGTTTAATTCATTTCATTGAGGCGATTGAAGATACCTCTAGGCCTGTATATAAATTCTAGGGATTTTGCTTGGGGTGGCCCCCTAGCTCACCGACTACTCACAAACGCCTCAATTAATTTTAACTCCTTTCCTCATCCCCGGCCTCCATCGCCCGGCTTGTTTGATACCCTGGAAATATATAGAAAACCACAGAAAATATACACTAAACTGTACCCATATGGATAAAGTTCTCACCACAAATGGAAAATGTGAAAATGCTCACGTAGTTCATGTGGAATGAACACAAAAGCAATTCAATGGCGTGATAGGACACTCTGTGAAAATGCGATGCATCACCAGCTCCAAACTGAAAACCATGCAGGCAAGTAGCCACTACACTAAAAACCCAAGCAAGAAAGTAGCCACAGCATGAAAACACTCAAAGCCAGGCAGGAAAAATCAATTCAGGAAGGGCTGGCCGCTGGAGGAGGGGTAGAATATTTTAGTTGGCAAGTACTGGCTTTGGAAAGCACAGGGGGCAAACTAAACAAATGAATGAACACAAACGCATTTCAATGGCGTGATAATAGCCACACATCAAAAACAGTAGCCACCGCATGAAAGCCAGGCAGGAAAGTACCACACTCAAGCCAGGCAGCAAAAATCCGCCGACCCCGGCTGAAGGAGGGGGAGCGCGCGAGGGATTACAGGTGCGGGAGCCTTGCGCTTCTTCGTCTCAGCACGAACCTGCAGGCAACAGACGCTTCCACTGCTCGATGCTGCTCGAACACATGCATCACTGGAGCCGCAACCTATTGCGCTTCTTCGTCGCAGCACGAACCTGCAGGCAACAGACGCGGCCACTGCTCCATGCTGCTCGAACACATGCATCAGTGGAACCGCAAGCTACAGCAACATACGAACCCCTCTGGCGGTGGCTCACAATGTCGCGGTCGTGCTCCCTGAGGCCCTCACCGAGCCGGAAGCAGGGGTGGGCACCGAAAGTGTGACCATGGGAGGCTCGGAGGGTCGTTTTGGAGCAGACTTAGATTGGAAAAAGCTGTGGCGGGACCAGGTGTCCGGGGCCAAGAGGACCGAGACAAATAGAAACAAACTTGTTTTTTTTT